GTAGGGGTCCGTAGGGTGTCCCGTACTTGTGTTGTAGGTGTGTCGTAGTGTTGTAGGGTGTGTCGTAGTGTTGTAGGTGTGTCGTAGTGTCGTAGGTGTGTCGTACTTGTGTTGTAGGTGTGTCGTAGTGTTGTAGGTGTGTCGTACTTGTGTTGTAAGTGTGTCGTAGTGTTGTAGGTGTGTCGTAGTGTCGTAGGTGTGTCGTAGTGTCGTAGTTGTGTCGTACTTGTGTTGTAGGTGTGTCGTACTTGTGTTGTAGTTGTGTGTCGTAGTTGTGTTGTAGGTGTGTCGTACTTGTGTTGTAGTTGTGTGTTGTAGATGTGTCGTAGTGTTGTAGGTGCAGCTCCTGGACAAGGTCTCCTGGTGCAGCTCCTGGATCAGGCTTCCTGCTGCAACTCTTGGATCAGGTCTCATGCTGGAACTCTTGGACCAGGTCTCATGCTGCAACTCTTGGATCAGGTCTCATGCTGCAACTCTTGGACCAGGTCTCATGCTGCAACTCTTGGACCAGGTCTCATGCTGCAACTCTTGGACCAGGTCTCATGCTGCAACTCTTGGATCAGGTCTCATGCTGCAACTCTTGGACCAGGTCTCATGCTGCAACTCTTGGACCAGGTCTCATGCTGCAACTCTTGGACCAGGTCTCATGCTGCAACTCTTGGATCAGGTCTCATGCTGCAACTCTTGGACCAGGTCTCATGCTGCAAACTCTTGGATCAGGTCTCATGCTGCAACTCTTGGACCAGGTCTCATGCTGCAACTCTTGGACCAGGTCTCATGCTGCAACTCTTGGACCAGGTCTCATGCTGCAACTCTTGGATCAGGTCTCATGCTGCAACTCTTGGACCAGGTCTCATGCTGCAACTCTTGGACCAGGTCTCATGCTTCAACTCTTGGATCAGGTCTCATGCTGCAACTCTTGGATCAGGTCTCATGCTGCAACTCTTGGACCAGGTCTCATGCTGCAACTCTTGGATCAGGTCTCATGCTGCAACTCTTGGACCAGGTCTTCTGCAACTCTTGGACCAGGTCTCATGCTGCAACTCTTGGACCAGGTCTCATGCTGCAACTCTTGGACCAGGTCTCATGCTGCAACTCTTGGACCAGGTCTTCTGCAACTCTTGGACCAAGTCTCATGCTGCAACTCTTGGATCAGGTCTCATGCTGCAACTCTTGGACCAGGTCTCATGCTGCAACTCTTGGACCAGGTCTCATGTTGCAACTCTTGGACCAGGTCTCATGCTGCAACTCTTGGACCAGGGTCTCATGCTGCAACTCTTGGACCAGGTCTCATGCTGCAACTCTTGGACCAGGTCTCATGTTGCAACTCTTGGACCAGGTCTCATGCTGCAACTCTTGGACCAGGTCTCATGCTGCAACTCTTGGACCAGGTCTCATGCTGCAACTCTTGGACCAGGTCTCATGCTGCAACTCTTGGACCAGGTCTCATGCTGCAACTCTTGGATCAGGTCTCATGCTGCAACTCTTGGACCAGGTCTCATGCTGCAACTCTTGGACCAGGTCTCATGCTGCAACTCTTGGACCAGGTCTCATGCTGCAACTCTTGGACCAGGTCTTCTGCAACTCTTGGACCAGGTCTCATGCTGCAACTCTTGGACCAAGTCTCATGCTGCAACTCTTGGATCAGGTCTCATGCTGCAACTCTTGGACCAGGTCTCATGCTGCAACTCCTGGACCACGCTTCCTGCTGCAACTCCTGGACCAGGTCTCATGCTGCAACTCCTGGACCAGGCTTCCTGCTGCAACTCCTGGACCAGGCTTCCTGCTGCAACTCTTGGACCAGGTCTCATGCTGCAACTCCTGGACCAGGCTTCCTGCTGCAACTCCTGGACCAGGTCTCATGCTGCAACTCCTGGACCAGGTCTCATGCTGCAACTCCTGGACCAGGCTTCCTGCTGCAACTCCTGGACCAGGCTTCCGGCTGCAACTCCTGGACCAGGCTTCCTGCTGCAACTCCTGGGCCAGGCCTTCTGCTGCAGCTCCTGTGCTGGCGTGACCAGCAGCCATTGTCTGCTACGGCGAAGATTAAGAGAGAGAGAGAGAGAGAGAGAGAGAGAGGAGAGAGAGAGGTGTGGGGAAGTGAGGAAAGAAACAAGAGTTTGCCCTCAGAATATTGATCTATGCTTGGTGTGTGCGTGTGTGTGCGTGTGTGTGTGTGTGTGTGTGTGTGTGTGTGTGTGTTGTGTGTGTGTGTGTGTGTGTGTGTACTCGCCTGTATGTGGTTGTAGGGTCGAGTCATTACTCCTGGCCTTGCCTCTCAACTTGTCGCTTGTTAGATCCACTTCTAGCCTCATGGGCACTATCGTAGATATTCTTCAAGGTATGTATGGAGTCTGCCTCCACCAGTTCTTCGTCGAGGTCATTCCACTTGCCGACCTTCCTGAGACTGGAAAAAATGCTTGCTGACATCCCTGTGACTCATCTGTGTATTTAACTTCAGTTGTGCCCCTGAGTACTTGTTTCCCGCCTCTCAAACAGCCTGTCTCTGTCTGCCCTATCAATTACTCTGAGTATTTGTGTTGTAATTATGGGCAAGGTAGATCATAGTGGAAAAATTTAACATGTTATTAGAAGACGAGGGAACTTACGTGCCTCTTAACCTGCACAAGGGAACTTACGTGCCTCTTAACCTGCACGAGGGAACTTACGTGCCTCTTAACCTGCACGAGGGAACTTACGTGCCTCTTAACCTGCACGAGGGAACTTACGTGCCTCTTAACCTGCACGAGGGAACTTACGTGCCTCTTAACCTGCACGAGGGAACTTACGTGCCTCTTAACCTGCACGAGGGAACTTACGTGCCTCTTAACCTGCACGAGGGAACTTACGTGCTCTTAACCTGCACGAGGGAACTTACGTGCCTCTTAACCTGCACGAGGGAACTTACGTGCCTCTTAACCTGCACGAGGGAACTTACGTGCCTCTTAACCTGCACAAGGGAACTTACGTGCCTCTTAACCTGCACGAGGGAACGTACGTGCCTCTTAACCTGCACGAGGGAACTTACGTGCCTCTTAACCTGCACGAGGGAACTTACGTGCCTCTTAACCTGCACGAGGGAACTTACGTGCCTCTTAACCTGCACGAGGGAACTTACGTGCCTCTTAACCTGCACGAGGGAACTTACGTGCCTCTTAACCTGCACAAGGGAACTTACGTGCCTCTTAACCTGCACGAGGGAACTTATGTGCCTCTTAACCTGCACGAGGGAACTTACGTGCCTCTTAACCTGCACGAGGGAACTTACGTGCCTCTTAACCTGCACGAGGGAACTTACGTGCCTCTTAACCTGCACGAGGGAACTTACGTGCCTCTTAACCTGCACGAGGGAACTTACGTGCCTCTTAACCTGCACAAGGGAACTTACGTGCCTCTTAACCTGCACGAGGGAACTTACGTGCCTCTTAACCTGCACGAGGGAACTTACGTGCCTCTTAACCTGCACGAGGGAACTTACGTGCCTCTTAACCTGCACAAGGAAACTTACGTGCCTCTTAACCTGCACAAGGGAACTTACGTGCCTCTTAACCTGCACAAGGGAACTTACGTGCCTCTTAACCTGCACGAGGGAACTTACGTGCCTCTTAACCTGCACGAGGGAACTTACGTGCCTCTTAACCTGCACGAGGGAACTTACGTGCCTCTTAACCTGCTTTCTCACGTGTGGGTTGCACACTGGTGCTGCGTACTCCTTGGTGTGTGTGTGTGTGGGGGGGATGGTTGTACCCACTACGAATGTCTGCAACCATTGACCTCTGAAGGAAGGTTCCTTGATGTTGGTGAGGGGCTCTTGATTTAGGGAATTGGATCTGTGCTCCAGTTCCCCAAATTAAGCCTGAATGCCTTCCACATCCCCCCCCCCAGGCGCTGTATAATCCTCCGGGTTTAGCGCTTCCCCTTTGATTATAATAATAAAATGGAACCATTGTAGTGAAGAACAAACAATACTTCTTGTAAAGTCAGTACTGGTAGTGTTGTGGTTTATGGTGTTGACTGGAAGTCAAGATCAAGGTCACTTGTGTCAGTCAAGATCAAGGTCACTTGTGCCAGTCAAGATCAAGGTCACTTGTGCCAGGCTCTCACAGGCAGATTGTTTGGTTTCAATGATTTCTTAGTTTTCTTTAAATAATTTCTTGTCTTGTTTTCAGGTGATCATTCCGAGTATGTCGCATGAGGTCCTGGACGCATCACCGACCAGCAAGTGAGTTACGACTTGTTATGTGTTGTAACCTGTGTCTTACGTGTTGTAACCTGTGTCTTATGTGTTGTAACCTGTGTCTTATGTGTTGTAACCTGTGTCTTATGTGTTGTAACCTGTGTCTTATGTGTTGTAACCTGTATCTTATGTGTTGTAACCTGTGTCTTATGTGTTGTAGCCTGTGTCTTATGTGTTGTAACCTGTGTCTTACGTGTTGTAACCTGTGTCTTATGTGTTATAACCTGTGTCTTATGTGTTGTAACCTATGTCTTATGTGCTGTAACCTGTGTTATGTGTTGTAACCTGTGTTATGTGTTGTAACCTGAGTTATGTGTTGTAACCTGTGTTTGTGTTGTAACCTGTGTTATGTGTTGTAACCTGTGTTATGTGTTGTAACCTGTGTTATGTGTTGTAACCTGTGTTATGTGCTGTAACCTGTGTTATGTGTTGTAACCTTTGTCTGTTATGAGTTAGTATCTACGAGGAACTGTAGGGAGGGAGTCAGGTAAGCTAGTAGCTACGAGGAACTGTTGGGAGGGAGTCAGGTAAGCTAGTAGCTACGAGGAACTGTAGGGAAGGAGTCAGGTAAGCTAGTAGCTACGAGGAACTGTAGGGAGGGAGTCAGGTAAGCTAGTAGCTACGAGGAACTGTTGGGAGGGAGTCAGGTAAGCTAGTATCTACGAGGAACTGTAGGGAGGGAGTCAGGTAAGCTAGTAGCTACGAGGAACTGTAGGGAGGGAGTCAGGTAAGCTAGTAGCTACGAGGAACTGTAGGGAGGGAGTCAGGTAAGCTAGTAGCTACGAGGAACTGTTGGGAGGGAGTCAGGTAAGTTAGTAGCTACGAGGAACTGTAGGGAGGGAGTCAGGTAAGCTACTAGCTACGAGGAACTGTAGGGAGGGAGTCAGGTAAGCTAGTAGCTACGAGGAACTGTTGGGAGGGAGTCAGGTAAGCTACTAGCTACGAGGAACTGTAGGGAGGGAGTCAGGTAAGCTAGTAGCTACGAGGAACTGCAGGGAGGGAGTCAGGTAAGCTAGTAGCTACGAGGAACTGTTGGGAGGGAGTCAGGTAAGCTAGTAGCTACGAGGAACTGTAGGGAGGGAGTCAGGTAAGCTAGTAGCTACGAGGAACTGTAGGGAGGGAGTCAGGTAAGCTAGTAGCTACGAGGAACTGTTGGGAGGGAGTCAGGTAAGCTAGTATCTACGAGGAACTGTAGGGAGGGAGTCAGGTAAGCTAGTAGCTACGAGGAACTGTTGGGAGGGAGTCAGGTAAGTTAGTAGCTACGAGGAACTGTAGGGAGGGAGTCAGGTAAGCTACTAGCTACGAGGAACTGTAGGGGGGGAGTCAGGTAAGCTAGTAGCTACGAGGAACTGTTGGGAGGGAGTCAGGTAAGCTACTAGCTACGAGGAACTGTAGGGAGGGAGTCAGGTAAGCTAGTAGCTACGAGGAACTGTAGGGAGGGAGTCAGGTAAGCTAGTAGCTACGAGGAACTGTTGGGAGGGAGTCAGGTAAGCTAGTAGCTACGAGGAACTGTAGGAGGGAGTCAGGTAAGCTAGTAGCTACGAGGAACTGTAGGGAGGGAGTCAGGTAAGCTAGTATCTACGAGGAACTGTAGGGAGGGAGTCAGGTAAGCTAGTAGCTACGAGGAACTGTAGGGAGGGAGTCAGGTAAGCTAGTAGCTACGAGGAACTGTTGGGAGGGAGTCAGGTAAGCTAGTAGCTACGAGGAACTGTAGGGAGGGAGTCAGGTAAGCTAGTAGCTACGAGGAACTGTTGGGAGGGAGTCAGGTAAGCTAGTAGCTACGAGGAACTGTAGGGAGGGAGTCAGGTAAGCTAGTAGCTACGAGGAACTGTAGGGAGGGAGTCAGGTAAGCTAGTAGCTACGAGGAACTGTATTGAGGGAGTCAGGTAAGTTAGTAGCTACGAGGAACTGTAGGGAGGGAGTCAGGTAAGCTAGTAGCTACGAGGAACTGTTGGGAGGGAGTCAGGTAAGCTAGTAGCTACGAGGAACTGTAGGGAGGGAGTCAGGTAAGCTAGTAGCTACGAGGAACTGTAGGGAGGGAGTCAGGTAAGCTAGTAGCTACGAGGAACTGTAGGGAGGGAGTCAGGTAAGCTAGTAGCTACGAGGAACTGTAGGGAGGGAGTCAGGTAAGCTAGTAGCTACGAGGAACTGTAGGGAGGGAGTCAGGTAAGCTAGTAGCTACGAGGAACTGTAGGGAGTCAGGTAAGCTAGTAGCTACGAGGAACTGTAGGGAGTCAGGTAAGCTAGTAGCTACGAGGAACTGTAGGGAGGGAGTCAGGTAAGTTAGTAGCTACGAGGAACTGTAGGGAGGGAGTCAGGTAAGCTAGTAGCTACGAGGAACTGTAGGGAGGGAGTCAGGTAAGCTAGTAGCTACGAGGAACTGTAGGGAGGGAGTCAGGTAAGCTAGTAGCTACGAGGAACTGTAGGGAGGGAGTCAGGTAAGCTAGTAGCTACGAGGAACTGTAGGGAGGGAGTCAGGTAAGCTAGTAGCTACGAGGAACTGTAGGGAGGGAGTCAGGTAAGCTAGTAGCTACGAGGAACTGTAGGGAGGGAGTCAGGTAAGCTACTAGCTACGAGGAACTGTTGGGAGGGAGTCAGGTAAGTTAGTAGCTACGAGGAACTGTAGGGAGGGAGTCAGGTAAGCTAATAGCTACGAGGAACTGTAGGGAGGGAGTCAGGTAAGCTAGTAGCTACGAGGAACTGTAGGGAGTCAGGTAAGCTAGTAGCTACGAGGAACTGTTGGGAGGGAGTCAGGTAAGTTAGTAGCTACGAGGAACTGTAGGGAGGGAGTCAGGTAAGCTACTAGCTACGAGGAACTGTAGGGAGGGAGTCAGGTAAGCTAGTAGCTACGAGGAACTGTTAGGGAGGAGTCAGGTAAGCTACTAGCTACGAGGAACTGTTGGGAGGGAGTCAGGTAAGTTAGTAGCTACGAGGAACTGTAGGGAGGGAGTCAGGTAAGCTAGTAGCTACGAGGAACTGTAGGGAGGGAGTCAGGTAAGCTAGTAGCTACGAGGAACTGTAGGGAGGGAGTCAGGTAAGCTAGTAGCTACGAGGAACTGTAGGGAGGGAGTCAGGTAAGCTAGTAGCTACGAGGAACTGTTGGGAGGGAGTCAGGTAAGTTAGTAGCTACGAGGAACTGTAGGGAGGGAGTCAGGTAAGCTAGTAGCTACGAGGAACTGTAGGGAGGGAGTCAGGTAAGCTAGTAGCTACGAGGAACTGTAGGGAGGGAGTCAGGTAAGCTAGTAGCTACGAGGAACTGTAGGGAGGGAGTCAGGTAAGTTAGTAGCTACGAGGAACTGTAGGGAGGGAGTCAGGTAAGCTAGTAGCTACGAGGAACTGTAGGGAGGAGTCAGGTAAGCTAGTAGCTACGAGGAACTGTAGGGAGGGAGTCAGGTAAGTTAGTAGCTACGAGGAACTGTAGGGAGTCAGGTAAGCTAGTAGCTACGAGGAACTGTTGGGAGGGAGTCAGGTAAGTTAGTAGCTACGAGGAACTGTAGGGAGGGAGTCAGGTAAGCTAGTAGCTACGAGGAACTGTTGGGAGGGAGTCAGGTAAGCTACTAGCTACGAGGAACTGTAGGGAGGGAGTCAGGTAAGCTAGTAGCTACGAGGAACTGCAGGGAGGGAGTCAGGTAAGCTAGTAGCTACGAGGAACTGTTGGGAGGGAGTCAGGTAAGCTAGTAGCTACGAGGAACTGTAGGGAGGGAGTCAGGTAAGCTAGTAGCTACGAGGAACTGTGGGAGGGAGTCAGGTAAGCTAGTAGCTACGAGGAACTGTTGGGAGGGAGTCAGGTAAGCTAGTATCTACGAGGAACTGTAGGAGGGGAGTCAGGTAAGCTAGTAGCTACGAGGAACTGTTGGGAGGGAGTCAGGTAAGTTAGTAGCTACGAGGAAACTGTAGGGAGGGAGTCAGGTAAGCTACTAGCTACGAGGAACTGTAGGGAGGGAGTCAGGTAAGCTAGTAGCTACGAGGAACTGTTGGAGGGAGTCAGGTAAGCTACTAGCTACGAGGAACTGTAGGGAGGGAGTCAGGTAAGCTAGTAGCTACGAGGAACTGTAGGGAGGGAGTCAGGTAAGCTAGTAGCTACGAGGAACTGTTGGGAGGGAGTCAGGTAAGCTAGTAGCTACGAGGAACTGTAGGGAGGGAGTCAGGTAAGCTAGTAGCTACGAGGAACTGTAGGGAGGGAGTCAGGTAAGCTAGTATCTACGAGGAACTGTAGGGAGGGAGTCAGGTAAGCTAGTAGCTACGAGGAACTGTAGGGAGGGAGTCAGGTAAGCTAGTAGCTACGAGGAACTGTTGGGAGGGAGTCAGGTAAGCTAGTAGCTACGAGGAACTGTAGGGAGGGAGTCAGGTAAGCTAGTAGCTACGAGGAACTGTTGGGAGGGAGTCAGGTAAGCTAGTAGCTACGAGGAACTGTAGGGAGGGAGTCAGGTAAGCTAGTAGCTACGAGGAACTGTAGGGAGGGAGTCAGGTAAGCTAGTAGCTACGAGGAACTGTATTGAGGGAGTCAGGTAAGTTAGTAGCTACGAGGAACTGTAGGGAGGGAGTCAGGTAAGCTAGTAGCTACGAGGAACTGTTGGGAGGGAGTCAGGTAAGCTAGTAGCTACGAGGAACTGTAGGGAGGGAGTCAGGTAAGCTAGTAGCTACGAGGAACTGTAGGGAGGGAGTCAGGTAAGCTAGTAGCTACGAGGAACTGTAGGGAGGGAGTCAGGTAAGCTAGTAGCTACGAGGAACTGTAGGGAGGGAGTCAGGTAAGCTAGTAGCTACGAGGAACTGTAGGGAGGGAGTCAGGTAAGCTAGTAGCTACGAGGAACTGTAGGGAGTCAGGTAAGCTAGTAGCTACGAGGAACTGTAGGGAGTCAGGTAAGCTAGTAGCTACGAGGAACTGTAGGGAGGGAGTCAGGTAAGTTAGTAGCTACGAGGAACTGTAGGGAGGGAGTCAGGTAAGCTAGTAGCTACGAGGAACTGTAGGGAGGGAGTCAGGTAAG